GTGTGTGTGTGTGTGTGTGTGTGTGTGTGTGTGTGTGTGTGTGTGTGTGGCCTAATAGTCAGAGTACTAGACTTGGAATCAGGAAGACCTAGACTCAAATCATGCCCTGACACCTTACTCAATTTGTAACCCTGGGCAAGTCATTGAACCATCTAGGTCCTTCAAACTACTTCTTAGGATTTATCTACTAAATCATAGAGAAATCCCACCATGTATTAGTCAAGTGAGTTCTCATACCTAAAGTTCCCTGCACTTACAAAATCACAGATCCTTCCTGAGTTTACATAGAGTACTATGGCTAGGGAAGTACAGTCATGTTCCAAGACACTGAGCTGTATCTTGGTGATAGTGGTGGTACTATTACCATTCCCAAGGTCTTCAGGGGCAGACCTCATTTTCATTTAGGACCTGCTTATATCTGTTGTAATTGATATTAGCAGTAAGCTGTCTGTGTAAACAGTAACAAAGACCATACTCACAGTTAAATGTTATAATCTAACTCATCATACTACAATGAGAGACTTAGATGTTATACAATTTTATATGTAGCTCTAGAAAAATGGCTCATGAAATTATTGGCTTATTGGTTTAGAGTTAAGAGGGAACTTTGAGAACATCTAATAATAACTCTCTCAACTTACAGATGAAGAGACAGAGGTCTTTCAGAGGATGCTACAGGGCCTTTCAGATTTCATAAAACTCCTCTTATAGTCATACATCTGCTCCTGAAACGAGTTAATTATTTTCCCTGTAGATCACCCAGGTCTTAGAGCTTTATGTGCTCAGTTTAAAAAGAGAAAATTTAATATCTTTAAGAACATAGAACATTAGAACTGGACAACATCATCTAACTCCTTCAATTTACAGGTAGGGAAACCGAGGCCCATACAGGTTAGGTGACTTGCTCAAGATCACAGAGTTAGCAGAGTTAGGATTAGAATCTATATCAAATTCTAAATTGCAAGACCAGTACTCCAGGATTTTGTGAAGTGGATTCTTGTTCGGGTATAAATAGGACCAGGTGGCCTATGAGGTACCCTGCAAATCTGAAACGTAGGAATTCTATCTCTTGACTCCTACTTCAGTGACCTTTCTTCTATGGCATTCTAGAAACTTCAGAAAAGCTAGCATTTCAAATAAATCATAGAAGTCACAGACAGAGATATCTGTATCCTGCAACTCTTTCTTCCATAAAGCAGCCCTTTGTAGTGGCCGTTCGGAAATATCCCTTCAGTATCTAACAGTTGTCTTTGGCCCATATCTTCACTGTTGGGAATTACAAGGGCCTTGACCTCTCTCTGCCGGCCTCTTTCAGCACCTCCTCAGGGAAGGAGACTTGCCCACATTCTTGAGGATATAGAATGTAGACAGAAACTTGGCAAGTACAGCAGTTGGAACATGACTCGAGCTTACCATTGGTCTTACTTTCAACCCAGGCATTAATCGTTTTCCTGGTTTCCTCTGGAGCATGCTGGAAATCTACAGTCTGCAGCTTGGATTGGTAGAACTTTTCTGAACAACTTAAATATTGCTGTAATTTAAAAGACAAATTTACAAAAATCATAAAGATAGAATGAGAATAAAGCCACTAGCGCAGTAAGCCCTTTAAAATAATCAGCATAGCTCATAGTAAACCAGTATTTTAAGTGTAACATGTGTGTCCCTTGAGGAAAGATGGGGGTGAGGTGGGGGAAGAGATTCTAGAAATATCTACTCTTGCCTCCTTATGAACCACATCCAGACACACCCATGTGGACACACGTGGGCAAAACACAGAACAGTACATCCATAGACTCCCCTACATTGGGCTCATGAGATACTTTCCTACACCGGTGGGGTAGGTATCATAAGTATAATTAACCCCATTTTGCAGATGGGAGACTCTGGCCCAAGGAGGCTGAGTGATTTGCCTGAATATACATGGTTAATTGGAGGCCCCAGTGCCAGGATCTCCCCAAGTCCTGGGCCAGTTCACTTTCCACAAAACTATGCTGTCTCCTTGTTGTAAAGAGTCAGTCACAATTTGCAGAGGGTTAAAGCAGATGATTTCTAAAGTCATACAGAGCAGAATCCTCTGGGTAGGCAAGCTTCGGGGACAGACTAAGGGGCCGCTAGATGGTGTAATAGATAGAGTGCCAGGCCTGGAGTCAGAAAGACCCAAGTTCAAATCTGGTCCCCAGAAAACTATTAGCTGTGTGACCCTGGGCAAATCACTTAACCCTGTTTGTGTCAGTTTATTTCTATCTGTAAAATGAACTGGAGAAGGAAATGGCAAACCACTCTAGTATCTTTGCCAAGAAAACCCTAAATAAGTCACAAAGAGTAGGACATAACTGAAAAAAACAACAAATAAGGGGAGTCCCTTGTCTCTTACATGTACCGCGATGTACACATAAATGGATTATACTGGATGATCCAGGGACTTCAAAAACAGTGACAAGAAGGTTTGTGGAGGTAACAACTTGCTGTTGGGGTTTGTCTTATGTCCAGTCACGTTGTTTTGCACTCAAAAGCAGGATGGCAGGAGCCAAGTTGTATAGCCAGCATATAGTAAAAACACAGCATTTACCCAATCTCTCTCAACATCAGTTTACTCATCTGTAAAATGGGGAAAATAATAGCACCTACTTCATCAAGTTGTTGTAAGGATCAAAGGAGATCATATATGTAAAACTCTTTTCAGGTTTTGAAGTGCTAACATAAATATTAGCTATTGTTCTTGCTGTTATGTTCTGTACAAGAAGGAAATAGTTCCCTTCCAACTCAAAATTCTACATCTTTGACCTTTGCTAGCTTCCTATATGGCATTTGTTGCAAACCAGAGGAGCAACATGCCCAAGAACATGTATGGACAGTCGTTCAGGACTAACATCTCCTGGCCCCTGGTCCAGCGCTCTTTTCACCAACCTACAATGTTCTCTGCTCTAGAGGAAACTACATTTGAAGATAGAGAAATGGGAAAACAGATTATTATCCTTCTTTATTTTGTTTGGGGGAGCCAGATTGATTTCATGCTTTCTAGTTCTTCTTTCACTTATTAGTCAACATTTTTGGGGGGGGGGTGAGGATTTCATCAGCATAGGAGCTCTCAGTGAGGAAATCCCCTTTACAAATACAGATAGGCAACTGTTCCGCAATTTATACTCTTAGTTGCCCGTGGTGTTGAGGGAATAAGTGACTTGCCCAGGGTCTCACACAGTCAGTATATGTCATAGGCAGGAGCTGAACCCATGTCTTCTTGACCCTATGGTCAGTCTTCTAGACCCAATGCAAATTTGCCTTTCAACTAGTCAACCTAAGGGGAATAACATATATAGTCTTTCCAGAAGTTAATTTTTCAGGTGATTTTTAATGCAGATCCAACTTTAAATTGGGAGTAACTTTTAAACATTGTTCTGTAATTTAGTCAACACAAATCAATGATGATAAAAATGCTCAGTGGCTCCAGATATCTTGGTAGGAGATTCCATTGTTTGCCATGAATACAACCATTCCTTATGTACTTACTGGATGGAATTCAATGTTCTTTGTCCCATAGAGTTTGTTGGCGATACTGAGTGTGTAATTACTATCCGACTGGCTGATCCGGGAGAATAGTGCTGGAAACTCTGAATGTATCCCTCCAGTTATGCCACACTGAAATATCATTAAACAAAGAATGGTGTGTTATTTGACCCTTGGCTGCTGGAAAGTGCTTAGCAAGATGGAAACAAAGGTATAACCACACTGACTTACTTCAAATACTCAGGATATTGAAGGTTATAGAAAAAGAGATTCTATTTAAAAACAAAAACAAGTCTTGCCCAGGCTGAGGAACTTGGAGAACTAAGAATTATAATTCAGGTTTTTATGTCTTTGTTCCTGGTCAATCATTTCACACTTCACTTTCCTGTTGCAATTTCCTCATTTTTCTCAGCTTCCTTGACAACCAATGCTAGGTTTGTGTCGATTTAATCAAACATTATAAATTCCAAGTTGAACTGGACTTTAAAAAAAAAGAACATATATCTCTTGTCTGCCTTCCATGTCACAATTGATAAGCCTGTATTATAGTTTCTGGGAAGCTCTCAAGGCTAATCGTGATACTTACACCCTTCTTATACCCTTGATCCCATCCCGTCTCTTGCCTCCAGGAAGTTACTTCACTGATCGTTCACATTTTCTCATTTATCTTCAATATCTTATCTGCTGACTCCCCTTCACTGCCTACAAACATGTCTAGATTCCTCCCCAACTGAAGCTTCCCCAGACACTATCAGGAACACCTGGAAGTCTCCAGCCAGAGTTGGTGCCAAGTAAGATTGCCCTCCCTGTTGCAGGCCACATCATATCTTCCTGAAATTCCGCCTTCCCCTTTTCTCCTCTTGTATGAACATTGACCTTTAGGGCCACTCTTCCTTTCCCAGTGGTAGTGGGCCTCAGGCAGATCCACACACACACACACACACACACACACACACAAGTCCTAAGGACTCCTGGTCCTTGACATCTGCCCTGAGGATGAACCCTTAGGACCACAGGCCTTTTCATCTGACCTATGCCTGGACTCTCCTATAAGTGTTATCTTCATGAGTTCAAATCCAACTTCAGACATTTACTAGCTGTGTGACCCTGGGCAAGTCACTTAAACCTGTTTGCTCATCTGTCAAATAAGCTAGAGAAGGAAATGACAAACCATGCTAGTATCTTTACCAAGAAAACCCTAAATGGGGTCACAAAGAGTCAGGCACAACTAAAACCATTGAACAACAATTTCATACCTTAGAAGATTTCCCAAGCTCTGGATTTGATGATCCTTTCATATAACCAAAGTGTAACACCTAAGATGAGAGAGATCAACTTCAGAGGAAATAAAGGAAGGATACATAGAGGTCATCCATTATAAACAACTCTGCCATGTTGATATATTAATATTTTAGATAGCAGTAGCTATTATGCCAGGCATATCCACAATTACATAGGGTAGTATATGGTGTCTTTTATCACAACACCCTGGTTTCAAGTAAGGAATAATCCAAAAGTACATTATAGAGAGGGGAAGGATAAAGAACAAAGAAGTATGGACATAACTAAAGTGGTTAAGAGCCTTGAAATGTATTAAAGGTCTATCAGATGTATTTTCTGTCCAGCATCTAGTTCACTGGATTAGGCAAGGATGACAGAAAAGGGTATTCATCGTGAAATCGAGACCAACTGCTACACATCTATTACTGACAGGTAGATGGGAGACCGTTTTTACAAAAGTTAACGGTAGATACTGTTTCATTTTTGTCTCATATTCCCAAAGCTCAGCACAGTGTCTGGCATATAATATTAGTAAATCAGTGCTTGCTGATTCATTGATTCTCTCTCTACTGGTGCTGCTGATTAATGCAGTGATTTGGTGAAGGAAGTGAGATGTTTCTGTAAAAATATATATTTACATATAGGTAGATATAAATATTATATATACACACATGTATATAATCATAATATAGTTGCCTCAGTCAGGAATAATGCCCAACTTATCGGCAACCCTTATTACAAAGACATTTTTAAAGAGTAGAAGTTTACTGATAGCAACTACTCCCCATATCCCCATCTCATCTCTACCCCACACCCAGACATACAGCTTTGAGCATCACACAAAGAAGGATTAGTTCCAGTGATTAAAAAAAATACCTAGAAAATTCCAACAGAGAACCCCAAGAACTCTCTGTTATTATGTGATATTGCCCCTAGGGAAAGCAATAGAGACTAACTAACTTCTAGACTGAAGTTAGACAGACACCTCCAGCTCAAAAGCTAACCCAGCCCTTTTTGATAGTAGCTATGAGAGTGGGACACTCCAATGTCCTCCTACAGTACAGTTCTATTAAGTATATTGCCTTTAAAGCTACCTCTTCTTGTTTAAGAGGCATGAATTGTGAAATGTGATGAGTTTGACGGGCTTAACTCAGGAAGAAATTTCCTGAAGGCCCATAGGTAAACACTTATCCCAAACCATACATACCTGTCCCATTTGTGCTGCACTGTTGCCTCGGGCACCCAGCAAAAGCATACTCAGGGCATAGAACAAACTCATAGGGGAAAAGAAGACATTGTCCTCAACATTGTGCCTGCTCAGTTCTTTAAAAACATCCAAGCAGAATTCAACATTAGCTGTACTGAGAAAGTCCATTTTAAACCCAGAATTGTCTATGAAGAAAAGAAAAAACAACTTTAGGATGTCATTTGGTAACCTAGACTTTCATCAGAGGTTTAGTATTCCAGGTTTAATGGTCCTATGTTGAACATTTCATTACAAATGGCAAACAACCCACCACTGACCTTGCTATTTTAGGTCCTGAGACTAGATGATTCAAAATCCTCTTGTATCAATCAGTCAATCATCCAACTGAAAAAGGACTTATTAAGCACCTACTATGTAGTAAGTATGGTGCTAGGTTCTGGAGATACTAAGGTAAAAGTAAAACAGTTCCTACTTTCAAGTTGTTTATATTCAAATGGAGAGAACTATACATACATATATATGTATGTATGTAATGGTCCTCGTCCTCCTCCTTCTTTACTTACTCTTACTCCCTCCCTCTCTCTCTCTCTCTCTCATCTTACTCTAGAGGTATACTGGGGCCAACTTGTATCAACTGATGAGAATCAATTGTCAAATTTTCAGTGTAAGTATTTACACCTCAGAAATTCGCACTCTACAAATTTATTGTGTTGATTGTTTAGACTTAATAAAATGATGGAGAAAATTATAATAATGCACATTAAATTTAAAAGTATGTCATGCATACATTTTTCCCTGGAGAGCTGGTTAAACATTTACCAGCACACAAAATGGCTCACTTTCTCAATTTTCATTAACACATATTGGATCCAAAAGGGGAGCTGCTATTGCTCTCATAGTTCTAGAGGTAACTCTATGGGTGGCTTCTTACACTACTATAGCTACATTACTAAGACCCTACCAATACATTTTCCATTAACAAATCAGCCAGATGACTCAATTAACTCCTAAAAAAAACTCAAAAGGCAAAATAAGAACAATATTTATAATATGTCCGCCCATAAACATGGGGCTTACTCTCTCCCCAGTATACACCACATCTGCAAGAAAAGTGAACATAAATTTAAAATACCATGTTAATGAGGCATATGTTTAGGGAATATATGTGACCAAGAAAACTCATTATATCATTGTCTCATTGTCCTTTCTCTTTCTTGGGGTTTGTTCTTAAATAGTTTGCTAACGGACATCGAACCTATGTCAGAAAAATGGCTCTGCTCCAAAGCTGTGCCTCTCCATTGTTGAGTTGGGTCACTCCTCTCCTAAACTGAGGTTATTCCTGGACAGTGTAGAGCTGCATTCTTGCAGAGTACAAAGGCAATGACTCTTAGCTGAGAACTTGGAGAAGCTTCTCTAATTTTATTTCTTTGGCCTTGCTCTAAGAGTTTTTTACTCCCCAAGTAGCAGCAAAATTTAACCTCTCTTTCCCTCCACAAGCTTTGAAGTTTCTTTTGAGTAGCTGTCATAGTTGAGGGTTAGCTCCCCTCAGCGAGAGATTTTACTCTAACTTATGGTCATCTACCATTACATCGACCAGATATTCATCTCTGTCATTTAGAACACACCCAGCCAATGGATATTTGGGGGAAAGACAGTTTTGAGGTTCAAGGTTCCCCAGTTTTTAAATAAAATTTTATTGTCATGTTTTTTTATATCACCTAAATTTCCTCCTCTTCTAGACCCTTCTTTTCTTCCAAACAGCCATCCCTTATAACAAAGAGTATTTTTTTAAAAAACAAAGAGGAAAAAAAATCAGCAAAATCAATAATATGTCAAAAAGAAAAACCAAACAACAACTTGTAATGCTGCTTCTCTACCCTGCCTCCAAACTCTGCACAGGAATCAGGGGAAGTATGTTATCATATCTCTTCTTGGGACCACGTTTGTTCTTTGTAATATTGCAACATTCATTTTTAATTGTTGTATGATTACTGTTCTTATCGTTTGCATTATTATAATCATTGTATATGTTGTTTTATTGACTCTAAGTAATTTTGCATCAGTTTGTGTAAGTTGTTACGTTCTTTTTTATCATATTCATTTTTTCTTATAGCACAATAATATCCATTACATTCACACTCACAATTTCTATAGACATTCCCTAATCACCGAACACCTACTTTGTTTCCAGTTAGTTGTTGCCACAATAGTGTTGTTACAAATACTCTGACATATATAGGCTTTCTTTTGGGGGCACATGTCTATTAATAGAATCTCCAAAGCAAAGGGTATGGCTATTTTGGCCACTTTTTTTGTATAATTCCAAATTTCTTTCCAGAATGGTTGCATTAATTCCCCACCAACGTGTCATTGGTGTGCCTGTTCTTCCACAATCCCTGCAAAATCATCTTTTGTCATCTCTGTCAATTTCCTGGGTCTTAGGTAAAGGCTCAAAGTTGCATTGTTTTGAATTACATTTCTCTGATTATTAGTTATTTGAAGCATTCTTCCATGTAGTTGTTATAACTAGTCATTTTTCTTGCTTGCTCATGTCCTTTGAACAGTTCCCTTCTTCCCCTGTTTTTAACTCTCAAATTCTCCTGTTAGTCTTATATGAATGAGCAACTGGGAAACAAGACACGGAGGCCATCTTGGGCGTAGGTAAAAGTGCATTGTCTCTTCAGGCTGATTTCTTAGTGTATTGCACATTCATCTCACATTTGTCTTTATAATCAGCAAAACTGCCAGATCTGAAAGGGTGTGTGTGTGTGTGTGTGTGTGTGTGTGTGTGTGTGTGTGTATACACAAAACACAAACAAAGCAGATATAAAATAACGTTAAGAGGAAAGCACTAATAGCTGAAAGAACCAGGAAAAACCTTAACCAAAAGATAGTATTTGAACCAAAGCTTGAAGGAAACCAGATTCCAAGAGGGAACTGCAGTGTTCTCAAGTTATAGACAGAGGAGAAGGAGTGTCATGTAGGAGGAACAGAAAGAAAGCCAATTTGGCTAGCCCATAGGGTAGGTACATGGATGGGAATAATCCCTTAGAGACATCTTGCTATTCTTTTTGTTCTGTTTTTTCTTTGTTTTAACTTCAAGGCCCTGTATTATATTGGTATGCTCTCCACCAATATGGCCCCTACCATTACTTAATATATAGCCTTCATGAATTCATGTGCCCCCCCAAAAAATTATTATTTGCTAGTCATATTTCTGATAATGAGTCTCTCCAAAATTACCTAATCTGGTTTTCAGTAGACAGACAATATGCCATGGAGCCCACACTTGAATCTTTTCTCCCTTGATAGAATTTGCCAGCACATGCATACTACTCACATAACTAGAGACACCTTGACCCCACTGGGAGAATCCAGCACTGGAGTAAGCCTTTGAAGGCTCATTTTAAACTCCTACAATCTTGGAAGGAAAGTTCAGGGGTGAAAATTGTTACTTCCTACTCTTCCTGTTTAAGTTAAGAGATATTCTCTATCAAGAAGCTGGCTATTAATTATTGTGTCACTACTAAGCTGCCACAGGGCACAGCTATTCTTTTGGCCACTATTTGTATCTTTCCCAATAGTTGGATACAAACAAAGCATTCCCAATTAAAATTAAGACAAAGATGAAATTTGTCTTTGTTTCTCCAAGCTACAGTTTTCTCCCTACTCCTACAGGTGAAGATAAGCCAGGCTGAGTAGGAAATGATCACAGCACACTTTACAAAGGGCTATGAGGTATACAATTATAATAATAATTATTAATAATAGTTATCATTTGAATAGCCCTTAAGGTTTGCAAAGAACTTCACATATATTATCTCAAATGGTCTCACCATAGCCCTATGAGGGGGAGCAAATGCAAGTAATAACTATTACTATTTAATAAAATAAAAATAATGAATACTATTAAGAGATGGAAAACTGAGTCTGAGAGAGGTTAAATGATCACACAGCTTAGTGTCTGAGAAACGTTTCCAACTCAAGTCTGATTCCAATTCTATAAATTATAACAAAGTGATACCACTCGTTGCATGTCTAATAAGCAGCTGAAGATGTAGAACTGTAGGTCAACAGAGATGTGAGGGTTAGATAAGTAGATTTGAGAAACTTTAGCCTAGAGATAATAATTAAATTCAAGGGAGTTGATGAGGTGACCAGGTGAAATAGAAGAGAAAAGGGCCCATGAAAGAGTCCTGTGGGACACCTATGATAAGAGGGCATGATCCAGATGAGCGTCCAACAATGGGAACTGAGAAAGAGCAGTCAGACAAGTAGGAGGAGAATCAGGAGAGACTAGTGTCCAGAAAACCTAGAGAGAAGAAAATATCAAGGAATGGAGGGTGATCAACAGTCTCAAAGATGACAGAGAGGTCAAGAAGGATGAGGAGTAAGAAAAGGACACTGAATTTGGCAATTAAGAGGTCACTGATAATTTTGGAGAGAGCAGTTTCAGTTGAATGATGAGGTAGGAAAGGGAGTGGAGACACCTATTGTAAATGGTCTTCTCAAGGAGTTTAACCACAAAAGGTAGGAGAGATGTGGGATGATAATGAGGATGGATTAATGAGGGTTTGGAAGGAAGGCGGAAGACATGAGATTATTTTTTATGTAGTAAGGAAGTAGCCACAAAATCCAGGGGTCTTTCATTATATGAGGTGGCCTCATACCAGTAAGAAAGTGACTTTTCAGCTCTAAGTCCTGCTGATCAGGTCATTATTTGGGGATAGCATGGTGGAAAGGAAAAGGGGACAAAAAGGAGAATCCCAGAGGATCATATGAAGTGTGTGTGTGTGTGTGTGTGTGTGTGTGTGTGTGTGTGTAGCTGCTGCTGAGACAGAAAAAAAAAGGTATTTTGTTTAGCTTTGTTTTGTTTTCATAAGATTTGTTTCAATGGGAGATGAGGAGCCCTTTCAAAAAAAAAAAGTCATCAACAAGGATGATGTTGAACCTGGAGATGAAAATAAGAATTGAGATAGTGATAGAGAATGTGTATGATAACTGTCCTCAAATAATTGAGAAGTTGTCACGTGGAAAAAGAAATGACAGAATTATTCTTCTCAAGAAGACAAAACCAGAATGAGTGGGTAGCTATTCCCAGAAGAAAGAGTCTGGCTCAATATGAAAAAACATCTTACAATTAGAGGTACCCTTTAATTGGCTATGGGGTACCTCAAAATGGAAT